GCACGCACGCACACACAGTGATTTCATTTGGAGGAAGAATTTCAAATGTTGCAAAATATTGAAAATTTCTGTCCTCGATAAGCTGCCTTGATTTAAAGTCAGCCCACAAGGAAATCACTGAGTTGGATAACCCCAAACAGCCATCACCAGTCAGTTCTTCCACTCTCAGTTTCCTCTGATGACAATCTAGAGCAATTAACAAAGGGATATTGTTCTCACAAGTCTACAAAAATCCAGTTCCCTTATGCTATGAACACATGACCTAAAGACTACTAACCAAATAACCCTTTATTCTGGCAAATTTGAAGACCACAAAATATGATTGTGAGCCGCCACTACTCACAGGGGAGATTTAATAGTGTTACAGGGCAAATGCCAGGGCTCTGTGGAATAAAGAAATCTATTTTCAGCTGGAATTCTCAGCCAGAAGCATCTTCCCACTCAGAAGCGTGTGAAATGCCTGCCATCACCATGACTCCTGACCACTGGACTCTCTGAATAGATGCAGAAGCAGAAAGGTAACACACATCAATGGCCTCTGGCCAAAGACCACTAGGAACTCATCTGCAGTTGACAAGCTGGGTTTATTATGTTGCCGGGAGCCTGAACACACACCAGGGGGAACCATAAGCATCTCAGTAAGAGAGCTTTAGAAAGAACCTATTAACAGGATTCAGGCTTTGGCAGGATAATTTGGAGGAGGATCTAGAGAATTGGGCTTTTTAAAAATTGGATGCTGTCAGAAAACAAGGACAACTTCATGACTGAATATAATAACAATTCTCACCTACAAGTAGGGTATACTAGAGCAGACATAAAGCTATCACTCATAAAAGATAATCTTGACAAAGATTCAAAAAGGTCATGCTAGACAGAACAGATACGGTTCTTGGCCACAATGGGTGAAAATCACTGTCAATTCCTTCATGCAGAACACTTTGATGTTGATTTCAGAAACGCACAGAATAATATTTTAGATATCATGTATATCTATGTCTGGGCTTTGCTGGTGGTTCAGGCGGTAAAGAATCTGCCTGCAATGCAGGAGACCTAGATCTGATCCCTAGGTCGGGAAGATCCCCTGGAGAGAGGAATGGCTACTCACTCCAGCATTCTTGCCTGGAGAACCCCATGGACAGAAAAGCCTGGTAGGCTACAGTCCATGGGGCCATAGAGTCAGACACAAGTCAGACATCTTTTTTATATCACATTCTAGACCTTGGCTCTGCATATGTCACTTAAGGCAATTTTCTGTCTTCCTCCTCAATGTCCAAGTTAAGGGAGCTTTCCTGTGATCATTTCATGCTGCTGCTGCTAAGTCGCTTCAGTCGTGTCCGACTCTGTGCGACCCCATAGACGGCAGCCCACCAGGCTCCCTCGTCCCTGGGATTCTCCAGGCAAGAACACTGGAGTGGGTTGCCATTTCCTTCTCCAATGCCTTCTCTGGATCATTTCATAGTTACCTGGAATAAGTAGTCAAGTTTCTGATGTTCACAGGAATAGGAACAGCTAAGTATTACTACTTGCTTTTCAAACTATCTGGGGTAAATAAACAGTTTCTTTTCTCCCCAATTGGACTTGGGCTGATAATTTTGTAAAATACAAGGAAAACTAATTACTAGGAAAAAACAAAAAAGACACAAGATAGCAGCCTCAGCATTTTTTTTTTTTTTTTACTGTTAGGTCCAACACAAATATAATAACTATGTCAAAGTGTCATAAAGTTTCTTTATATAGCCTCACCTTCAGTATTTATCTTGACCTGGACCTATGGACACTCTTTGAGCAGTACTGTTATTTTATTTTATTACAAGTCAAGCCTTCTGTTTAATATACATTAAGTCTGTCTCAGACCACTATCTATTTCAAACATATATAGTTTGCCGCAAGGTAGCATTATAGAAAAAGAGGTAAGGGATTTCACTCAGGGAAAAGGCCATGGTAAGAGCTTCCCAATCTCAGTGAAAAATAAATACCTGTGGCTGCTCCCTATGACTAAGAGTTTCAAAAGACCCATGTAGATAATCAGCTCACAGGAATCCCATCGACAATAATCTACAGTAGACCCATCTGGGTAGGACTTCACTAGCATTCTCTACCATAGCAGGAGACATCACTTCATCTTGCTGAGCAGAGATGTTCCCATTGGCATTTTTAGGCCAGGAGGGGCCCTGCTTTCTACTAAGACAACTTCAATTTGGTTATAATCCCAGAGCTTCCCAAGGAAATGGCTTTCTAGCCCATCAGCTTAATCCTCAGGCATCTATGTGATCTCAGGATCCCTGTTTCTCTTCCTAAGGTCAAGAAGGTCAAACTTAAATCCCCTACACAGCAAGTTAAAGGAACAAAAAAGGGTTTAAGAATCTGCTAATTAGCCAAGTTTATTTACATTCACATCAGTTTTACTTTCCTACTTCATCTCAGCTAAGGTGCTTATTCTATCCGATGCAATTTTAAGAATTTGTCCCCAGCTTAACGAAGTAGTAGTCATCACCCTATTGATCTGCTATTACTGAGCTTCTAGTCCTGCCATCATCTTTATTCTTCCTCCATAGCTGCTACGAGCTGGAAACTCTAAAAAGCCTTCTGTTTAGATACACCCGCATAGTCAGCACTGCCTGCTATAGGCGGGACTCCTCTCTTTTCCAAGATCAAGCTCAAGGCCTGAGCCATGTAAGCCTGGTTAGAAACTTGGTCCCCATTCATAAAATCTCTCCAGAAGATACTTCCCTTTATCGCAACTTTTTTAAGTTGAACATAATTCTAGTATGCATGTGTGTGTGTGTGTGTGTGTGTGTGTGTGTGTGTGTGTGTGTGTGTATACAAGTACAGGAATACCAGATATTTTGACACTTAAAATCTATGGCAAATTTAACCTCTTTGAGCTCCATGAGAATGGTAATCATGACCATTCCTTTCATCATTTCACAATGCCTGGAACAGCACTTGCCCAGAATGGACTTCTCAGAAATATGTTTTAATTAATTAAAGGATCAAAGAATGGAACAAATAAATACACTGGTTGAGTTGTACACACACACACACAAACAGACACATTATGTCAATGTATACACGTCAAGAGTTAACACCATATCTTAAAAATGAGAAATCAACCCTAATAATTAATGCATATTCATACTTTATACCTATTTTCCTCTTCCTTACAGCTATTCCCCTATATTTCTGTATCTATGATTAGATCATTTGACATGTACAGTAAGAAAAACACTGATTGCTAAGTCAGGTTTAAAAACTCACTATGATAACCCATTAAAATAATTTTCTTGCCTTTTGCCTTTCTTAAACTGATTTTCAAGTTTCAAATCTCCTAGTCTAAGCTTCAATCTTAACCAGGGAGATAAAAAGTATGTAATCTTTTTATGCTATAAAACTTAAAAATAACATTGAATTAAGTTTTATCCTCAATATACTTTACTTAGAAGTATTATAAAGTAGTACCTTTACGTAATTTATTTCCTCTTATACTCTGGTAGTGTTGAATCAAGCTCTTAGTGAATATTTTAAATTTTGTCTTCTAGAAGATGTTTTCTTTCTATTGTTTTAGTCAGTAATTTAGTTAAGTCAGATCTATTAAACATTTGTGTGGAACGAGAAGAATCTCAGAGATTCCTTGTGTCTTCAAACCCCCTAGCATGGTCTAGCACCAAATGTGATGCTGTGAATCTTAAACTGAAAGGGTCCAACTAGGAGACCTGCCACACACACTCTATTCAGTTTTCTGTTCAGGCTTCTAAAGCCCTATAGAACATCTAAAGGCAGCACAAGACCTCCAAATAAAGCCTGCAACCATGAACCCACAGGCCTTGAGTAAAAAATATGGCATCATAACTCCTTTGGGTTGTGCTTATGCACTAAGAGGGCAGTAGCAGAAGATTCAAGGTACTGTTAGGGGACCAGCCAAGGTGGAAGGAATGCAAGGATTGTTTTGAGAACTCCCGGAAGAGAGACAAAACAAACAGAATAGCTGTGAACTCCCAAGAAACAGCAGCCTGGCAACCACAGAAAGAAAAATGGTTGCTCTTTTTGAACAAAGGCTTGGAGTCAACTATGAATGGAAGAGGCATAAACACTGACACACTTCTCAAATAACATCTGGAGATAACAAGACAAAAATATTTCACATCTTCAGAGCGTGTGAAAAAGGATCAGTTGCTATTAGCCTCAACCACAAAAGTGAAGAACAATATATGGGTATTTCATTCAAAAGCAAGAGAAAATGAATCAAAGCCATCATACAGAGAGAACTAGGCCTCAGGTTCATACACTAAGGCGATTTGAACAAATTCTGACAGAGAAGCACCTTGTTTCCCATTTTGGCATTCTGAGGGGGGGCGGTGCAAAAGAATGCTTTCTAAATATTTTCTTTAATAAAATACCTAATGTTTCTTCATAAGAAGGGAAATACTATCATTTTGAAGGAATCTATACTTCTTTAAAAACTTGTCAGGATGATTTAAAAAAAAAAAGTTGTTGGCAGTTTGGGCAACTCTAACGGCTGTTGCAGGTGGCTCTGTCACTCAACTCTGCATGATCTTGGCATCACTTCTTAATCTCTCTAAACCTCAGTTTTCTTATCTATAAGAACTAGAATAATAATACTTTCCTCTCAGGATTATTAAGAGGACTGATTACATGTTAAAATCACTTAAGACTATGCCTCTAATCCAGCAAGTGTCTCAACAAATGATCATTGTTATTATTTTTAAAGAAAATAAGGATATAAACTTCCCAACGTGATACAAGTGGACATATAAGCAAAGAATGCTAAGATAGTTGCCTGTGGTTTCTTAGACTAATGTCTTCATGTCAAAATGAAGCCAAAGCCTACATTTTTGACAGTGAAATGCTTTCCAACACTTCTTCCTGAACTTGAAATATAATAATGAGGCTTTCTTTCCACCTCTACCTTCCAAACCATGCTAAAGCCATGCTGCACTCCCAAACACCTTCAAACAGACACAAAAGGCAAGCGGTCTTACCAGACCATCACAGTTGCTAATGGCAACAGAGGTTCCTGGAATGTCCATGACGTCACCAACATAAGCACAGTCGGTCTGCAAACGCTCTGTTTTCCAGATTCTCTCCGAAGTTCTTCCTGGTTGATGATCATGAATGGGGTCGGTTATATTCCCAGGCACCGGAGATGCCTCATGCCACTCCACCACAGCACCAGGAGCTACCAGCTGAGTGTTGGGCTTCAGTCGCAGATGAAAATCTCTTCCAAAAGCCGTGATGTTAAAGAACAACCGCTCAGAGCTGGAAGACACGTCCCTCGTTGCCCTCTTTTTGTGATTCGCAGAAAGAATGTGGGAGAGATAGTGTCCTTCAGAATTTGTGCTGACGGGAGTCACCAGCTCATACTCTCTCTGCCTCTTTATTGGTAAATCTGTGGGGTGAAAAAACAAAACTGTAGAGCCCTGTGTAATAGAAGAACACAGGAGGATGTCACACGGGCATCGAGGGCCCACCTCACAAGACCACACCTCAACTTGCATAATAAATATATTCTTGAATCATCTCATAAGCAGTAAGTTTTGAGAACTCAAATCATTTCTCAAACACATTTAGGTTAACTCTGGGTTAAATGAACCTTTTTTTTTTTTTAATTTTTAAAAAATTTCACTACATGTGAATACTCATCTCATTTATGTGTCTGAGAATATGCATAAAATAACTTTCCATAAATTGTATCAAGCTTGCTTATAATCAAGAAATACACTCAATTAATGTATCATTGACATAACTAAGAACTGCTACAGACTTTTAAAAAAGTTGCTACTATGTAGAAGATATTTTTCCTAATTGCTTTAATTTTTTCCTTGTAAGAATCCTAGAATTTATACTTATCACAATAGTTTTGTGTATTAAACACAATGTACTTTGTGCTATATCTACCACTGGTCTGTAATTTATACACTGCAGTTTATGGTGTTGCAGTTGATACATATTTTTCCACCATACCAACCCTAATAAGTATACTTCACAGGTGAGGAAACTGAGATTCAGGAGGTGTGTGTCCAAGGTCACATAACTGTGAAACTCAGCTATATCTTCACATCACACTCCAAAGCCCATACACTCCCTCTGCTTCATCACGTTTGTGTCCCATAAATCACAGAACGTTTTCAGCAGATGACGAGAACGGAGTGAAAAGAACCATCTATAAGTTGAATACACAAGTACTGGTTAGTCAAGAGCAAATAGCACTGTTATTTTGCACCGTATTCCTTACACGGGAAAGACCCTCATTTGAATACAAATTCAATATTAAGGGTCCACTTTATAACGCGGGTGGCCACTCACATGTTTAACTGAATTGCACAGTTAGAACTTAACTGTTTAGCCAAGTTTAGCCAAATGTGAGTACTGTGTCCGCTGAAATGCAAACATCCTTGGGAAAGACAACACATTAAATGAACCATTTCATCCTTAACAGAAACAATTTTGAAGGCAGAAGGAAACAAGAAGGGCAACAAGGATGAAAAAAGAACATATGGAGAGGAAAATCTATGAGCCTGAATTTAAAATTTCTCCACCTTCATAATTCTAACCTCAGACTAGCCCTGTAGGTATGACAAAGTAGGTATGAAAAAAAGTATATGATTCACAAAGATTCCTCACCTATGGAAGCTTCATGATGTTATCTAATACATTAGCATATCGGACCCATAAATGAATCTACAACCTAGGTTCTTAAAGTGCTTTATAAAATCACTGTGAAAGGTGAAGTCACTCAATCGTGTCCAACTCTTTGAGACCCCATGGACTGTAGCCCACCAAGCTCCTCCACCCATGGGATTTTCCAGACCAGAATACTGGAGTGGGTTGCCATTTCCTTCTCCAGGGTATCTTCCTGACCCAGGGGTCAAACTAGGGTCTTGCACATTGCAGGCAGACTCTACCATCTGAGCCACCAGAGAATCCCATAATCTGAAAGTCACTCAGTCATGTCCAACTCTTTGTGATCCCATGAACTATACAGTCCTTGGAATTCTCCAGGCCAGAATACCGGAGTGGGTAGCTCTTCTCTTCTCCAGGGGATCTTCCCAACCCAGGGATCGAACCCAGATCTCCCGCACTGCAGGTGGATGCTTTACCAGCTGAGCTACCAGAGAAGCCCCAACAATCACTATGTTTTCATTATTTTCCTATGTTTTAAATAACTTAAACAACGTGTAAAGTACCAGAACACAAACGAAGGTATTTTGCAACCTGGAAATTCCTTGAGTGCAAGTTTGTTACCACTACACCACTTATAATGACCAGTGCATTTAAACATAATACCTGTTTTTATCAAGTGTATACAGCAATATATACACAGTTGTACATATTCACTAGACAGAGAAGGAGTGAGGAGGTTCATATCACAGAGTAAAGTGAAGCCTGCTTCCAGGGAGCAGAAGCAACCCAATTCCTGTCTCTCTGCAGGCTCTCTACATCATGAAGACCTACATAGGTGTTGGCGTATGCACAGACACACAGATTCGGTCTCCCTTACAACCAAATCCATGAGAACACTTTCCTAAATTCTGGCTGAGAGAAAGAACTTATTTGAGAGAATGCACTCAAGTGTCACAGCAGCAGGGTGATGGAGGGGGAAGTTTCCACAGGAAGGGATGAACGGGGCTCTTGGAGGTGGACTGACACAGCCAACCACAAACTAAGTCCTGGAGGACAAGGAATTCCCCATTTAACTCAGTGTTCCCAGTATCATCTCATACAAGACTTACGGTCTCTTATCAGTAGGATGTGTTTACTATGTATGAGTTAGTAATGCGGGTAACTGGAGAACATTTGCTTCATCTCTGCTGACCCACACACTGACTTAACTATCCACGGCCCAGGAGCATCTCGCCGCACCAATGATTCCAGTTCTAACTCTTTCTTTAACTATCAGTTTACTGTTTTGGGGAAAGGAAGAACATTTCATTTTAATGCATGGACTTTTCATCTCCACTGAAGGGAATTCACACCACCAAAATCTAGACAATATACTGATGCCTGGATTAAGCAACTGGACAACTAGAAAATTTAGGGAAAATGCAGGGCATCTGCTCCACACCCAAGGGGGTACCCAGAGTTTCATGCTGAGAGCAAACCATACATCCTAGATTTTCTGGGGTGAATCCATTTTTCCACTGTCAGACAATATGTTCTGAACTTTTATTCAAAATAAAGATGGTATGTCTGTATAGAGCTTTGTCTTCTCCAACTTTAAATAATAAACCATTCCTAAAATGTACACATAAGAAACACTTTTGAAATTAAACTCTGAATGAGTCATTTTCCAGGTAAGAATTAAAGAAAAAGATGTATTTAATATTCCCTCAAGCTACCACCCCACAGGACAGTAGTTAATGGAACTGACAAAGGAGTTATCCAGTTACCTGCCATTTGTTACAGAGTAAATATCAGGCACTGTGCTTTGTCCTGGGTAATACACCTTCTCTAATTCTTACTACAGTCACAGTTAGTAGGTACTACCCTTAGTTTATAAATGAGAAAGCAGACCTAGAAAGCCTAACAAATAGCAAACAAGGAGCCAAAGAAAATTTTCAATTCTGATCACCTTGACACTGAAAATCACACTCTCATTCAGAATAGAGGGAACATCTTGCTGGCAAGTTCTAATTGCAGACCTGAGTTATAAAGGAAAACTACAAGAATGATGATGGCCTATCTGCAGCCAACCAACCAATTTCTCCTCTATTGCAGCTTCAAAAACTTTGTAAAAGCCTCTTAAATTATAGGTCTTGGGGAGAAAAATAAAGGGATGGGGTGGGTAAAGCTCAACGTTATCAGTGGTAATCTCATGCTACAATCATATATGCAAACCAATGTTAATTTACTGCATTCAGAAATGATACATTTCACAGGACCAAATACTTTCACAAAGCAATACAGCTCATGGTCAAGGAACAGATTATAGTGTCAAAAAGCAGCAAGTCAACACATGAACTTGAGCAAGTTCTTTTTTCTAAAGGCTCAGCTTCCTCAATTGCTAACGAGAGGTTAGTAATAGTTCTAACGTCATAGGAGAGGTTTAAATGAGATTAATATTTAAATCCAAACGATTCTGCAAGTTTTTACTATTTTAACTTAAATGTAAATTAGCTACCTATTAAAATATTACCTACGTGCAATTTTAAAATGCAAAACTAGGGACTTCCCTGGTGGTCCAGTGGTTAAGAGTCTGAGCTTCCACTGCAAGGGACATGGGTTTGATCCCTGGTCTGGGAACTACGATCCCACATCCCTGTGATGTAGCCAAAAAAGTATAAATAAAATAAAGTGCAAAACTCTACAACTGTCATCCCGGATGGCTGAAGCGCCACCGTTATAGGCATGTAAAGGTTTATATGAGCCATAAGTTCCATAAGCACAGAGAGCCGGGGCCACGGTAAAGCCACCCTGTGGTCACTAATTAACCAAGCATGACTCAGAAGCAGTGAATTTTGATACAACCCACTGGCATCTCTGCATGCCTGGTCCATCCCGCTCTCTTATCCCCAGTATGGATGAACTGTCTGTGGTCTTACTTAGGAGCAAAGCCTCCACTCGTGTACACAACCTAGCCCCTCTTGCCTTTGCAAGACAGCTTCAACAACTGTCCTCTCCTTCCTCCCTCATCAGTTTTCCCCATCACTAGATCATCCCCACCAGCAAATAAATAAGTAGCCATATTTCCCATCTTTAACAAACACACACACAAAAACCTTCTTGATGCCACATGCATCTCTAGCTAATTTTCTATACTTCGCTGCCCTTTGTAGCAAAACATTTCCAAAAAATTGACTGTATTAGATTTCTCCAAATCCTCTCTTCCCAATCTTGTTCTTTCTTGAACTCAGTCCAATCATTCTCTTGTCAAAGTCACTAGTAACCCCACAGTGCTAAAACCGATGGTCCAGACTCCATCTTCTTACTTGCTCTGTTTCTCTTTTCTAAGAAACACCCCCTTTCTTTAGCTTCCAAAACACCATTCTCTACTGGTTCTCATCTTTTCCTCGGTGGGCTCCTCTCCTCATTCTCCCTTCCCACATCCCTCTGTTCTCATGACTGGCACACACCTGAGCGCCGCAGGACCTGGTCACAGATGCCTCTTCTGCATGTAGCCTCCCTAGCGTGGAGTACTCGTTCTGCCTCATGACTTCAATGCCTTCACCATTGTATATCTCCAGCCCAGGATTCCTCCATAAGCTCTTTTCTCATCAATTCAATTGCCCCTGGATCCTCTCCTTGTGCATAGCCACTAGGCATGTCAACACATCCAAAAGTAAACTTCCAACCTTCGCACTCCCAAGCTTGCACCTCCTCACCATGTCAGTAGATGGCAACCCCATCCTCCCAGGTACTCAGACCAAAAATTCGACTAAATCATCCTTA